GGACTGCGATATGGTAAAACTAACCACAGTGAGAGAATCGTGTGTAAGCATAATTTCTAAATCACACACAGTCAGCATCCCAATCATATTCCGAAAGTGTCAAAAATAAAGGGTCAAATAACTACCTATTACGATACTCACACACAGCCCCACAATAATTTAATAAAAGGCACCTGCATTGTAAAGCCTAAATTTATTAGGTTTTTTTTTTAAATTGGGTAAAACCAGTCTTGCAATTCTAATAAATAAAATATCTATCTGTAAACTATTGCGATAACACTGAGTAGATATTTTGTAATAAGATATTAATATACCTACTCAACCAAAAGAGCAATAATACATTTCCAAAAAAAAATATACAGATTCCAAATTCCAGATTCCAAAATATGCAAATTCCAAAACTAAGCAGGACAACAGCACTGCAGAGAGAAGGAAAACTTGACACAAACCCTTTACCAACCCGTCTGGCCAGCGTGGTATAGTAGGCCAAAACCTCCTTTCTCAGGAGAGGCTTATGTCCAGCAGTGAACTATTAAAGGCTGTTGATGATGATGATGAAAAAAAATATATTCAAACCATGCTAGTTTCCATTGCAAAGCGTAAAGAATGTTGAAAAGCGCCATCTAGGCAGAAAGTAGTGTAGTTTTGAGAAAAAAAATTCAACACAGTTTACAGAGATTTCACGTTTTTTATAAAATCAGTTAGGTACTCGAAATTTCTCCGTTATTGTTGTGATTGTCACCATAAAAATCTAAATGTATTTTTGGGTGTAGTTTGGGTGTCTCGAAAGTGTAGTTTTATATGATTTCAGAATGGTGTTTTTTTTTAATTATCAATAGAATCGCTTCGCATAGATAGCGTGTTGTACGACTTGTCTCACCCCAAAGATATAGATTCTAAATAAGTATGAAAATAATATTTGGAATCAATTTCGTATTAATTTTCTGTATACTGTGTGAAACTCTCCCAATAGTTCTATATCATCGTATAATTCTAATACCCATACACGTGCACTTTTCACTTCATGCATCTCTTGTACCTCCTCTTTTACACTTCTTCTTGTATATGACGTGTCAACTAGAGCAATTGCAATCATTATCAAAACCTCCGTATTAAAAAAGTCTTAGTGCATTATTGTTTTCTCCATTTTACATTTCATTACATCTCTGAACACTAGAAGAAGAAGCGTGACAAAAAAAAAACGGTGCTTGAGGGGTAGATTGAACTTGGTGAACAGGCCATGGCTCGGGCACGCCACTGAAATGTGTGAACAAAAAGGCCCTGACGGGACACGGATCACCGCTCGTGCCACGAACTCGGCCGTGCCGTTCACTTTTCGGGCACGGCACTGATGACCGGGCACGTCCCAGCCTGCAGATATTAAAATTTCAAAATAAAAAAAATCCCATTTTATAGATCTCAATTAGCCCTTTCGACCTACGTTAATTAATTTATAAGCCCCTTTTTCGTTTTCCCAGGAAAAATAGAAATATAATTTTCACTTTTCCTCTACTTAAAATAGCCATATCTCTTTGAAAAATGATTATTTTTTACTCTACCAAGCCTAAAAAAATTGCCCTTGCGCTAATTTAATTTGCCCGCGTGCTAATTCTTAAAAATATTCAATAATTAATATTGTAAACAGTAAAAAACCGTCGTGGCATTTCCAAGCCAATTATGCGCATGCGCGACAGAATCAGACAGAAATCAGCTGATGCTACACGCACGGAAGGACTTTAAAAGTTATTATATTGGGACAAAACGAAAAAGGGGCTTATAAATAATTTAACGTAGGTCGAAAGGGCTAATTGAGATCTATAAAATGAGATTTTTTTTATTTTGAAATTTTAATATCTGCAGGCTGGAACGTGTCCGGTGCACTGATGTGTGTAGAGAGACCCTTTTGCCTGGATACCGTGCGGGTAAGGATATAAGAATACTACTATATGTATAAGAAAAATACTATTAAAAGGTACTAAATTTTATAGTCAACAATATATTTTTTCTGTTCTGTTAATTCTTTGCTCAATTAAAACTATTTTAAATATTGTACGTCTCAATGCATGCCCCTACTAAAGATGAGCCAGAGTACTGAAGTACTAAGTTTAGAAACATTTAATCCATATTTGAGTTGCTGATGCTTGTAAATAGAATCGATATACATTTTATATCGATTTATATGAATGTGAAATTCGGAAACTATACCGGGACTACATATCGCAGTCCCCGACGAACAAAATCGTAATAGGAAAATAACAATTTTACAGGAGCAAATAAAAACTGAATATCTTGAATACTATCAAGACTAAAAAGAAGATTCTTTTATCAAAAATAAGGAAATATTTTTTTGCACTAGATTTTTACTAAATTTTTATCATAAATTTTCTTTATCAGTAAGAAAATTGTCAAAATGTCCATTACTGAAATAAGCTATGGAAAAAATTAACGCAAACTAACTTTACGATAGTGTTCGACTGTAATCACAAATCGGTGTTGCTGTAGTAATCGTTCATTATGATATTGTTCCATGGTAAATATGAATATACTTTATATTCGTAAAATGACATTGCAATCGTATTCGATGATATAACTGACTTTAATATTACGGTAAACATAAATTACATGCTTATTCGATGATCATTTTTAGGTGTTATAACCATTTCGGTACCTATGTATAAATTCTGATTCTGATTCTGTCATTTTTCCCTCGAACAATATGGTAATAGCCGCTTACTCTAAAATGTTGACTTTTGAGATTTGGTAATAGGTTTTTGCGTTATTGATCGTGTAAATTTTTCACTTATGTTATACGTCGAACAAAAACATAAAGATCATTATTGAATGGATAAATCCAAAAGTATTCATCGCCCGATCATAAAAAAAATTCAATGATTGTAATAGGGTGTGTAGATAACGAATATCTAATAAACCCGATTCTATCGTAATAGCGATTACCATAGTGTTCGTCGGGGACTGCGATATAGCGCAGTTTTAAATTAATATATTGTTTTGAGTTAATGTAACCAATATCTTCTTTTATAATAAATTTCTACCTCTAAAACCACTTGTGTTTATCAATGTAGTCTTAGTAAATATAAAAATATTTGGAGATCCAAATACTTAAAAGTTCCCAAAAAACTATCATAAATTATAATAGATTTGAATTTAGCTTTCACTAATTGCTGGCATTTATTAATTTTCTATGATGCAATGATAATTAATAAACAAGAGTATAATTATTAAAGCAAAAAATAATTTAGCAAATTGTGAAAAATAACTGTTCTAGCAATATTTTAAAATGGAAAAATAAAATCTCGCCGTGCAAGTTTTTTTTAACAGTTCTCAGTCTTACACACACTGATGATGTAAGGGATAAAGGAATATACAAATTAGGCATGGCAGTGAACTGTGAAAGACCGGTTATTTACCATTCCATTTTTTCGTTAGGTTAGGGTTACTACTTACTCACGCGTTATTGCCAATAAGCTGTTTTAATGCTATGCGATGCATAAAGACCCTATTTCGCCTATTCAACAGTAAATCTAGTAATTATTTTATTATATATAAGTAGCTACCATTCCCTAAATAATAATTTAAAAAAATAAAAGATTTACTGTTAAATAGCGTCTAATCTACTTACCTAGCAACCCTAACCTACGTACACAAAAATCGAATCAAAAATCAGTTTATTGTGATTTTGTCCCATGTCTGATACAAATCTGTTTTCTATGAATCAAAAGATTTAAATTTAGAAATAATCGTATGGAAAAGATATCCCATGCCTACCTTGAAAAATGTGCACACACACACAACTTTTTTGAGCACTCGTGGAATAATGACGATCCACATACGATTATACATACTTATCATAGGTACTAATCTGTTTAACTGTAAACAGTAGTAACAGGAGCCAATGTTGTCTAAAGAGGCAACGGACACCCGGGTAACTTTATTTAATAATTTGAATATGGGTTGATGAATTCAATATACCTTTTAATTTATCTTTTGCTAAGTATAAATCATTTTATAAAGAAAAAATAAATCATTGCTTCATTAAAAATACTTTTCGGATACAATATTTACTGAGAAGCATACATCACTATTACGTCAAAATTTTGCAAATAAAGTTTGCACAGTTCGGCTAAATTGCAGAGTTCGAATATTTTTAGGTTAACGTACAAACAAAAGAGTATTTAAATTTTTCGAAGTATATGTAGCCGGGCGGGCTGTCGAGATCATGAGCACTGTGCGTGTTTAACAAAAATAGATTTTGTTACATTTTTATGTACAGTGACGTGTTATCAAGGCAAACGCACTTTATACAATAGTTACCGAGTTTAACATTACAGTAGTTAAACCAGAAAATTGTGCTGTGACATATAAAACACTGTAATGTTTAAATCTTTGTTGAACACTGTATTAACTCAGGCCAGCTGTCAAGAGGTGGGTAAGTTTTTAACTGCAATAAATCGGTTCATTAAGTAAAAATAAAATAAATATTTAACTATGTACAGATAGTTAATTTTTAACTGTATGCCCTTGATTCGTCTGCCCTTCAACTGCTTGGGAACGTCACTATACGTCGTGCAGTCAGACCTAAATTTATGTATGTAGTTTTTAAAAAAAGGTTTTATTACACATCAAGGCAATGTCAGATAACCCATGTAACCTCTAACATTTTATCACTAAATAAAATATGTTACAACATTTGATGAAATGAAATAAAATGTAAATAACACCTAATGAATTGTAATAAAATTAAACCACAAAATTAAGTTAAAAAATAATCTTAAAGATATGCATAATAAATAATTTTAGTAATATCATTTCAGACAAAATATACTTACAGTATGTCAGTCTTATATGAAGAAATCAACACATAATGATAAGAGATGTGAATATTCTAAATTGCTTGAGTACTCATGATAATGAAGTCTTATCTCTATTACGTCAATATTTAGTTCCCATCACTTCAGTTTGATACAAATCTTCACAACAAAATGACAACTCGCCGGGTAATTCTTTTTTAAACAATTTGTTTATCATAAAATTCAATACTGTAGTTCTATATTCAATTGTGCTCGTGAAATGTGTTCTTAGTGTTTACCAATGTGTTATTGATATAGGGAATGTGAACTTCAGAAAATATGGTTTAAAATGAGTTTTTATTGTTATAACTCTACTTAAATACTTTTAAAAGTAATAAACTTATTTTTATACATAAAGTTATTGATAATGAGGTTAAGTATGAACAACTTTTTGGTTCAAGTTGGTCATTGATTTTTGTTATCTCTTGAAAGGAGAGTAAATTATTGTTTATGAATGCTCATTGAAAATATTACTAAAACAATCTCTATACACATATCCATTGTCAGCGACCCTTCTCCTCTAAAAACCCTTCAATAAGTGATTGTTTGTTATTATTTCACACTGATAAAATGTTTATAATTTAAAGAACATTGTTACCAACAACTGGTACTTCAGGGTCATAAGTTCAACCACCTGTTAAAAGTTACTTATTATTTCATCTAACAATTTACCAATATGAGATTTCAATATTTCTTAATAGTGTTATTAACTAGGTAATTTAATGCTTTTGCAAAATTTAATTCTAAGATAAATATCTAATCTGAACACAATTGCAGATGTTGGTTTTATCAACGGATTTGTAGCTATTAAAGAAATATCACAAATAAGATAGGTAACTAATACATTACAAGTTTTTTTTAAATATTTATTTTAGTTGTGTTCTGCAGTCTCACCCCTATTACATTTTTTAATCTTTGTTACTGTGCTCATAAGAATTGGACAGTCAAGGCTGAATGCATTATAGGGTAGGTGCCAGTTTCACGACCACCTTTAGTAGGCGGTCATTTGATGGACTAAGTTCCTTTAAGTCAAGATAATAGCATTTCTAGAAGTAACATAAACGAAAAATAAATCTTATGCAATTTTAAATAGTTATCAAATAAGAATCTCCACAGTTTGAAACAAATGATTTATCCTAGCACCAAAAAAAAAAATTGGTCAATATACAAGATGAATTATTGGTGTGTGGTTTATTGATGTTTAAAAAATAATAGTATTGTGCATGGTGCTCAATGGTAAGTTTTATTGGTTATTTCATGTTGTACAGACAAGTTCTGTGTTTAATTAGAGCAATCGCATAGCTTTTGTATTTATTTAGTCGTATTTTGCTATTTTCATACAAAATATTAAGATAAAACTCAGTGGTCGGGAACCGAAGTACCAATTTAACAAAAAGGTTGGATTAATCAAAATCCGACGAATACAGCCTTATTTTGTTTTGCTTAATATAAACATAATGGTTCATACAGTTATTCTATAATTAAGGGTGTAGTATTGTAAAATTGCAAAAAAGCAATCACTTAGTAACCCAGTTTATTTAAAGGAATTTCATTTAATTTAAGTTCAAACATGGGTTTAACATTTGGATGTTAACCAACACAATTTAAAGAAATTAATTTGCAACCACCATATTTTGAGATACAATGGCCGCAAACATAAACAAATAAAATGATTTGTAATATTATAATAATTTGTTGAGTATGCAATCACATGGATTTTCAATTGTATTGCTGTTTGTTTAATCATTATTTTAGCGAGTAACAATGTGGTCCTAATTTGACGAATACTGTAAGTAGATGATTATTTTTCCGTTTATACCATTAGAATACCATTAGAGTTATAAAAAGCCGCCAAACAATATTTTGAACCAACTTCAAAAAAGGAGGCGATTCTCAATTCGTTGTTTTTCTTTTATCGATGTTCCGATTACTCAAAGACGCGTGAACCGATTTGAAAAATTCGTTTTTTTTTAAAAGGTATATACGTCTCAGGGAGCAGTCCCATTAAAATTTTAACGAAATCGGTCAAGCGGTTTTTTTTTAAATGAACATAAATGTCAAAATCGTATACATCAATGATATTGTTGTTTACTTCGAAACCTCGCTGTCTCATTGGCATTGATTGAAATGACATTGCAAATCCATATTACAATAAACAAAATACATCTACGAGTACTTTCCACTAAGAATTAAAAGTAAAATTTAACCAACTTAAAAAAAGGTACTCTCCCGGTGTCTACCTTTCCTCAGAATTGAGATTTCTTAATTGATGCATTTTTGCTAATATTCGTTCATCGTAGGGTTAACTCACGTAGTTTAGAGGGTTCTAAATCAGATAGAGCTATTCCTTCTAAAGTTCTTTTTTTTTAGTCTGTGACAGCTCTATCGAGACTTGCAACCTGTAGTTAATGGACAGTTACAGCCCAGCATAAATCAAGAAGTAAACTTCGACACTCAAGGTCACCATAGCTTCTCGTTGCTTGGAATGTAGCACTTTCCAGAAGATGACCTAGCTGCTTATTTGCCCCCTTGTCCATAAATGGAAACGAAGCCATTAGCATCTTTTAATCTGCTGCCTACTGTCTCGTCATCAAAACTTAATGAGAATGGCATATGGCATTGTACATTTTTCCAACAGATCTCTGCGTAACGCAGGTCAGTTCAATAACACCCATCATCCATCATTCGATAGTATTTTATAAATAAGAGGTAACCGATGTTCACGTTGTTCTATCGTTTCTTTTTACAATTTACTTGTACAGAATTGCGCATTTGAGAAAGCCTTTCTTCACAATCCTCGATAGACTCTCCCAGACGTTGTCTTCTCTATTTCTTTCTCTACTGCGCTTTATAGACGCTTATCTTCGTCATTTTCAGACTCCTGTGCTCGACGCTTTCTCATACGAGATGCACCCAAGGAAACTTTCCCCATCATGTACAATCTACGCACCTATTTTATAAAACACCACTAAAAAGAAAAAAAATGTTTTTAAATTAAAAAAAAACGGCCTTAAAAAACACCCAGGAACTAAAAAGCAAAAAATTATTATTATTTACATACGGTTTCCTACCCAAACCTATAATAAATCAAAGGAGATTGGCGAAGTTGAGCCTAGGAACGAATCTTTCAAAATTTCAAATAAATTACGTTATTTTTAATAAGTACACCAAATAGTAATAGTTACCAATTTTACGGGGAAATAATTTATTTACTAAAATATTGGGAAATTTATTTTTTTGTTTACAAACAAGGAACTTACCAAATCAAAAGAAAATGTTGGCAGTGGTATAATAATTGGTTGTATTGATTAGAATGATCAATTATTGTCTATATTCCCAAATAAAGTATAATCGATTATTGTTTATATTGATCCAAATAAAAAATGACTTCTTTGGCAACACGTGTTATAAGTGTCGTGTCGAAGTCGTCAAAGTGAGTCGGAGATGAACTATGTCGATGAATACATTTACCTGGACCAGTAAGTAGCCTTCGATAACCGGCATGAAAAATAAATCCGATAACACGTGGAAGAGCTGCTGGTCCTACAAACACTTTATAAAGACTGACTTACGGGTTATGAAATGAAGCATCCCTGGTATCAAGCCAAAGACAAGAACTGTTGTGAGAACTGTTGACTTGCGTGCCATGACAAGAGTACCTAGCAGACGCGACCGAGATCACATCCTCATTAAAGTGGAACTCATTAAGCGTATGAATCCGATGTGTTATCACACCGTGGCACCAACGGGACGGAAACCGTCGTCAGGAACCTAAATGCCTATCGTAAGAGCTAGTGGCAACTCGCTAAAGATCGAGATGGATGGAAACGGTGTTCCTTTGCCCAGCAGTGGGTCATCAACGGCTAATTTAAAAAGCGATTAAAGTTATATAACATATTGCAATATTAATTATGTCCCGAATTACATACACGAAACTTTTTTAATGTTATTCGATTAATATTTATGTCGTCGATATTAAGTAGAGTACACATTGTAGGTAATATTGGCAATTCAAGTATGATGTCAGTGACTGTGTGAGTGATCTTGCTGTCTGTCGTCTGATTCTGATTGTTTCTATCGTGTTCCTTGTGCTTCGATGTTTTTCGTTATTATGAAAGAATTCGCAACTGCCATCAATCATCTTGATATTAGAATGTTTGCTTGGTGATTCCTTACAGAGTCAATCAAAGAGTAAAATTATTACTTATAACAAATTAATAATAGTGTACTTATAACATCATCACATCGTCATCATTAAAAGCTTTAAATAGTCCACTGCTGGACATGGCCTCTCCTTATACAGGAGGTTTTGGCCTACTATACCACGCAGGAAAGCCGGGTTGGTATAGGGTTTTTGTGTCAAGTTTTCCTTCTCTTTGCAGTGCTGTTATCCTGTGGTGGTGGTGACACTCTGTATTCTTAATCCGTCACCACACGGACTACTTATAATAATTTTTCAAAATAATATCTATTTCGATCCCCTATAGTACTGTCAAATAATAACTTTACTTTTAGTTCAGTGGTTTCCGATATCTACTATTCCGTAGATCAGATTTATAATTTTAATACCCCTAGAATCGCTGTATTTTGAGCTACAAAACTAGATATCATTATTGTAACGGTTAGGACAGAGTCCTAAGGAAACTCGCCGATCTCCATTACATTTCCAGTACAAAAAACAACTAAACCAAACACTCACTTATCCATAAACAGTGATCTGAATTACTATACCAAGGATAAACTATTTTAATACCTAATTATATTTATCTATTTACCAAATTACAATATGACAATTATTGTCCAAACCTGTTATCTATTAATTTAAATAAAATATTTTTTGTGCTAGACCCCTACTGACGTGTTTGAAGTCGGTGCCAAGTCGAAAACAATACTTATATAATATCAAAAACAATACTTATTAATTTATACAGGGTTAAATTAATAACGAAACCGTACAAAGACCGCATCAACAACACTAAAATGCATCCAAAATTTAATTGCATTCGAGACGACTGTGAACGACGTCTACCGCACACGTGCCTGCCTGTTTAGGTTGTATCGCTCAGCACGAGCCTTCTCTCCACGCTCAAGCGTTCCGTCGCTAGGTATTAAATAAGATTACTGTTTACAGAAAAGTAATTGTTTCG